TGTCGCCATGTTAAATTCCTATGTACGATGGGCGTGTAGGGGGGAAGGGGGTCAATTTTTGAACAAAATTTTGCGTACGTACTTTGTGCACGCCGCCTAACTAATCAGCACAAAAAAGCTTACATTCACGTCAAGTTAGTTTGTCAAAAGCTTATATGATTTTATTAGTAGCTTAAATAAGGTATTATAATAAGATTTTACAGTTATTTATTAATTTTAAAAAGTAATTTGACAGTATAACATTGATAACTAAAATATAAGGAGTGTCCCAATGTATCCCAAAAATCTTAAACGTAATTTTAGTACACATCTAATTATTGTATTCAACAGTAATGAAAACTACACCAAAAAACAACAATTTTGAGAAAACAATAATTTTCTATTGTAATTTTCATAAAAATTAAAACTTTTACACCCTGGTCATAATTTAATAGCGCGCACCAACCCTTGTTTTGAGTTTACAAAAATGTGTTTTTTGTATGTATTCACAATCCATGCATTAATTGCATTACTGTTGACCAGTACTGTTACCGATGGATCGATAGTGCATTGATTCGTAAGTGGATGCTTACAAAATACACACATTTTTGTAAACTCAAAACAATTGTTGGTACGAACCATTAAAATGATGACCAGGGTGTAAAAGCTATAAATTTTGTGAAAATTACACATAAAAATTTGTGTTATTTAATATTTTTGTGTAGTTTTCATTAGAATATAATAATTAGAAGTGTACTAAAATTGCGTTTAAATTAGTTGAAATACGATGGGACACCCCATATATAGAATTAGTTTGTACAAATAAATCTTTGAAATATACAATAATTTTACAGATATATTAATGATAAGAATATTTTATTAAAATCCCTTATAAACCTCACTAATAATACAAAAATACACAATAATATTAAATAAATTATAAATAAACACATTATTATAATTATTAATAGATCCAATGATATTAATATAATTATCATTTTAATAAGAAATCAATTACAATAAGATTGGCATTTTAAATGTGATAAGGCAAGAAATATTTTTAGACATAACAATATTATATTACAATTCAAAGGTAATACAGTGTTTACCGATTATAATACTTTATTTATTAATAGAAGATGTATTATTAGATCGTCATGTTGAAATATAATTTATTATAAAGATCATAATTCTTTTAAACACGTAAGTTAGTATAAAATATTATAATGCTTTTTAAATATTATAAAGATCTGTTTATTTAAAAAGTGATTGAATGTAAAGCGAATTATTAAAAAATATTTAAATCATACAATTGATATTAATAATTTATTTACTTAATATAAAATTATAATAATTGTTTTCAAGTAGTTTAAAAGTGTTTTTCAAGTTATCATATTTTGGAACAGTTTGTGTATAAATAAATTTATGTAAATATATATATTATGATTTGTTAATTATATATTTTATAGAGGTTTTATATTTAGAAAGGCTTTTATTTAAAAACAAAGCAAATTAATTAATTTTCTATAAAGTCTGTATTTTACAAAACGTTAGATTACTTAATGATTAAGTGAACCACACTTTCATTAATCTCTCTCATAATATCGTTATATTTGATTAATTTGTTGTTTAATGAACTAATCTGCAGCACCCGTAAACGTTTACAACAACGACTAATATTAGCTTAAACATTTTTATATATTATACATACGTGTATAATTAGATTATAAATACTACATATAAGTACTAATAAATAAATACAATATTTTGATATAACTTGTTCGAGATATATCAATATTTGTAAGTTAATGTTAACAGGACTGGATGTACAACACTATTAGTCAGTTAGGTTATATAAGTCAATAAGTTAGCATTACTGTACATATACTGTATTAAAGAAATAATGATAAATATTAGATATGATGCGGTCAAGTTATTTGTTTTACAAAATTAGTTTTCTGATGCATTTGTACAGTAAAAGTGAAGTAAACTAAGAAATACTTAGAGTTTGGACTCTTCGACAATGGCGATGATGACTGTCTGATTGGCACCGTTACCATTATTACCATTATCCACACTATTCATGAAATTGTTGTCATTCATGGAGTCCGTGGTACTGATGGATGAGCGGACACACATCACACCAAACAAGCCGTTCCCATACTTATTCTTAGAGGCCTTCATGGCGTTAGATCTCTTCAGTTTACTCCTATGGCTGCCTATGGCTGATGTCTTTCTTTCATTTTGTGTGTTAACCGAGTCTTGAGTCACGTCTGGGGGTTGTTTGCGATGACAATTGAGTGTAAAACATATCTTTAGTAAATACTTTGCTCTTTCATTATAGTGTTTGTTAAGCCAGAAGTATATGAATGGGTTATAGCAGACAGAACTCATGGCAATCCAGTGACAAATCAGAAACACATTTGAGCTGTAATTCCAAAATCCAAAGTCAGCCATAATGTGGTGGATATTAAGCTAATGTTTTGGAAGACAAATTAAATCCATTAAACATTCAAATTAGTTCGTAAGTAATTTAAAACCATTATTGAAATATAGGTTGTATATGTTTTTTCATAGAAATTCTTAAATAATTACTTTCTGAAAAGAATATACTGAAATCATTATAAACTGTTTATTAAGTATTCATATAACAAATGAAAAAAGTTGTGAAAGTTATTAGAAGTAATACTAAAAAGGATCTGGAAAAATATTTAACAAAATAATTAAATCTTCAGAGCATTTATATAATTCTCATAAATCAGTATCAGTATGAAAACAGATCTAGTTAGTTATAGCGAAATTAATGATATAAAAGTTATTTACGAAAATCCATTTTATTATAACATTACATTTTATATTTTATCAATTATTTCAGTATTAGCGTATATACAGAAAAACTAAATAAAAAATAATTTGTCCTGAATTTTGTGATTATATGAATAACGAGAAAATAATGCCCTAATCTTATTAGAGACCAGTAATAACAATCAGGTTTTACTGACCGGAAGCCAACAAATGGCAAACACGACCACAACTGTAATCAACATTTTAATGGTCTTTCGTTTAGACTGGTTCTGATCGGTCCTCTGCTGTTGAGTCATAGCGCCGATGCCTACCCTCTGCCAGATATGCACTCCTATGCGGGCGTAACAAACGGCTATCAAATCAAACACATTTTCAATCCATTATTCACTCAACCTTTGAACTCGCTCAAGATTATTTCAAATAAGAAATGCACTTTTATATGATAGTATTATTATATGACAGTTACCCTGGTCATATTGAAATGAAATGAATGAAAGCGAACTCACAAATGATAAGAAGAGGGATCGAGTATTGTGTGGAAAATGTTAAGACAGTAATCCATTTGCGGTATTTGTCGTCCGGTTCCGGATATACAGCCCGACAACGGATCAACTTTTTAAATGTAAACATTTCGACGATTTGGTTGAAGTATGCGTGAGGTATCGACAACAGGCCGGCCGTCACCCAAATGACGGCTATTATCAAACCAGTGGGAACGGTAGTCGTTAATCGGCGCCTCAACAAACCGACCAACACTTGGTATCTGTCGATCGCTATGATTGTCATTGAAATGGTCGACACATAGACAGACATCGCCTGAATAAATGGTCCCAATTTGCACACCAATGTGCCAAATGGCCAGTCGTCCAGCAGCATACGGGCTAACCATTCAATGCAATAGTTATATAATATTCAGTCATTTCAGTTGTCATGTAAACTAAATTTAATATTAAAATTTTGAATTTAAAAATTATTCAACACGAGCCCTGAAATCTGAACAATCTAAAATTGAATAAAATATATAAAAATACTGCCATTCTTTGAATAAATCTAAAAATATAATATTTTATTTTTGTCTCATTTGATGTCTGAATATCTTTTAGTCACTCATGTGAAACACATATTAACAATAGAAGCTATTGGCTTATGTTACTGTATATTAAACTAATTGGGAATATTCTTTGTAGCAAATGTAATGCAATTTTATTAAGAATATTAAGGTAATTGTTTATCTCATTATTGTATAAGAAATTCATTATTTTAAATAATTGTACACAATGTGTAGAATTTCAGTATAATTATTTATAGTGCTATAACTTTATTGAGATAAAAATTATTTGTATTATAAAATTCTAACACTAAAGTAATATTATAATATATTTTTAATAAATTTCGTTAAGCATTGAAAATTGAATATAACATAAAATAAAATGAAATGATATTTTAATAAAGGTCTAGACTTTAATTAAATAAAAGAATAGTTCTGAATTCTGAAAAAATAGTTAAATATGTAAAATTAAATATATATATAAATATATAAAAGACTTAAATAAAATTATAAAAATTAATTGTGTATAATGTACACATAATATGTAATGTGCACATACAATATGAGTTAATATTGTAATCTGTAAATGCTCGAATAATTTTTTATCTATTATTATTTATCTCAGTACGCTAATAAGATTATTTATAAGCTGTCATATTTAACATACGAATGACTTTTTAAATAAACAATAAAATATTCTTGTAAAAATAAAATAAAAAGTTAGCTAGTTTGGTGGGAAATCAAACGTTAAAATGTTTGACATTTAGCTTTAAACTAATCTGAACTAAACTTGTAAGCAAATACAATGCTAGTCTGTCAATGATATAAACATCAAATTTCTATTCAGTATTGAATTGATTTACGGAATTGAATAAAAAAGCGTTGAAAATACAAACATTATATAGAATTTAATCTATGAATCACAGCAAAAGCCATTCAAATGTAGAGAGTTTATAAAATAAAAAATTAAATTGATTACAAATTGCAGAATTTACAAAAACATTAACAAAATTGAGTGAAAAGAAAATTCTTATTAATATTTTTTTTTTGTAATCTAATTTGATTTCCTTGGTATTTCACGCATTTGTGATTCCAATGAATTGCTTTCTATCTATTTATTTATATATGCCATTCAATCGATTCTTATTCAACAAATTATCTAGGTTTCAATTATAAAGTGGCGTTTATATCAATAGATTATAAATGAATATAATATTTTTCTATATCTGTTGATGGAATACCAAATGAACACAATTGTCATATTTTTAGATAGCGATAGTAATCGAAAAAGATTCATTATAATCTTCCAAACTACGTGATTAAAGTGTTAAAACTTTAATTTTACTTGCTTATTCACATAAAAATAAAAATTCTTATAAATACTCAAACATAATATGCTATTTTAAACATAAAATCATATCTGATATATCGGATATTCCGAGAATAAATTAGAAGAAAGCTTTAATTTTAATCTTCCAATATTGCTTCAAACTTTACATGTAAGTTATGTGTATACATCAGATATATTTGTATGAATAATCAAGCAAAGTTTAAAAGTTTTGAGACTATAATCACGTAGTTTGGAAGATTATAATGAATCTTTTTCGATTACTATCGCTATCTAAAAATATGACAATTGTGTTCATTTGGTATTCCATCAACAGATGTATTCATATTTTTTATATTTACTAAATAAATATTAAATACATATTTGAGTAAATAGCATGGATGTATTGAATTTATTGTCCAATACTGAAAATATTTGTCATCATATGATTTATTTGCAAATCTTAATAATAATTGAGATAAAAATAGAAGTTGAGTGCTCAGGCATGATTTGGAAGCTAAATAAATATTTAAATGATCTAAACCCCTATAGCAGTGTGTTTCAAGTGGGGGAAGCAATGTGTATTCATTTGTTCGTTCAGATCGTACGTAATATTGAATAGGCGCCGGTATGCAACTTACAACCGACATAAGGAGCGACTTTAAAGTATTTCGGCTTCATATAAATGGCCCCCTAATGATTACAAAACATATGCAAAGTAAACAATGAATAGTAGATCGCCCAGGTTTGCCTTAAACAGGCAGTCACCATTTAATGATTGGAATATAAGGATTTTCTTATTCAATATGAAAACACTTTCAAAGAGGAGTCCAAATATCTTATTTATATTGTCCTGTGACCTCGGGTTCGACCGCAGTGATCATTTTTATCTGGAAATGTTTCCGTTATAAATATTGACATGTGATATATCAATTCAATAGAGATTTTAATTGAGAATACGATGATATATGTAAAAAATTATAAACCTGACTAATCATGCATATAATGTCGAATTAGTGATGAAAAATGTGAAAAATCACAATATTTCTTTTAAATTTAGGAATTTCTAATTTCTTATTTAAACCATCATATATAGTGTAAAATTCTCTACCAAATTG